AAGTTTCGTTCTTAACGTACGAAAGATTTTGATTAAAATCGAAGTTTTAATCCGCTGCACTAATTCACCCCCCCCCCTCTTAGTGCCGCTCCGATCCTAACAATCTTGATGTCTCTTTCGAGTAACTTATGACCAAAAATATTTATGGTTTGTGTTTATATGCGAATTGGTCTTATTATCATGATATCATCATAATCAAATTCTTATTGCATAGATCCAAGAACATCACAATATATTCATCATCCAATATAGAAAATACCATAATAAATATTAACCAAAAAGATTATATAACATATCACACATATTATCACCAATGTAATTAGCTTGCAAGACACCTGTAACTAACAGACACAAACCTCGAGAAGGTACGAGCTAATATTAGAGATGCTTCTACCTTATTCGGTAAGGGAAGTCTAATAGTTAACAAGGAGAATAGCAACACTCAGTTGATTCCTATCCCAATCAAGTGATAGGTGCCTATATATCTTTTGGGCATTAAACAACTCATAGAGCTTCCTATGGATCGATGAGTATTAAGATGCTTTTGAAAGGATAAAAGACCACCTCATATAGTTGTCACAACTCTCCTCTATCTTAGGCAAAACTCTAAGTCCCTATCTCGCTACTACTGACCTTACTATCAACTCAATGCATGGTGAACCAAGCAACGAAGTCTAAAAGTATTTCCTCCTCTTGCCTAAGTTCAAGAAGTGTTATCATCAATAGCCTCAAGTTCATGTTATCGAGAAAGTAAAGCTCAAACTCCCTTATGAGATGACCAAAAGAACTGATAAAGAGAGGCTTCAAACATGCATATCATTCTTGTGTCAGGCCTCTTTACATGGTTGGGAAGGTGTGGCACATAAGGGTGTTCAAAGTATCGCACAACAATATTTAGGTGAGAAAATAGTGATGTGCTCCATCGGGTTGGTATTACTATTAAATGCCTCCAATGTTAGGAGGCGAAAGTTTGTTGGAATTGATTTGTTTGGATTTTCTAGGTCAATGACGATCGACCCAAGGTGGGGTTGACCAACGCTTCCTCTTTCGATTATTGGAACTCTTGTTGTACCTCCTCTAAATGTCGATCTATCTACTATAGTTGGATCCGTGAGGAATCCTATATCAAATTTGTCGATTAGGTCTCAAATTCAAGTAAGATAGAGTGGTGGTATGGTCCACTAAATTCCATGGTTGGGGAGTAAAGTACCCCCTCGACCAATGATTCGATAGGCCTTGGGCACTCCTGGGATATCGGTACCACGTCAAGTGGGGGAACCTCGATAGGCATCGATGCCGATGGCGATTAAGCTATTGATCATTGTTGAGCCTGTGGCATCGCTTGTTTGGCTAGTTTGGGCAAAAGTGGAATGACAGATTATATCATGCTCGTTAGTATCTGCATTTATTGGGTGAGGTTTAAGAACACCTCAGCAAGGACGAGCCGGTGGGTCGAGGTTACCTCTGAGATCCATGGACCTGACTTATTGAATATATGCTAGTATCATATTGACGTTTACGTAGAGGTAAATGCATCCACATGCATAAAGGATAGTTGCTGCCCCCTTTGAGTGAAAGTACTATGGGTTGGTGACAAAGTCTCATCGCTTGAGCGTTTGTTGTGAGAGTTGGCGGGCAGACATTCCTACTACATCGAACCCTCTTTCGAGCACAAAAAATGTTAAGAAAAAAGTCATTGATGTCTTGGTCAGCCCGACGTGGTCCAGACTCGTATACGCAAGGTTATCCGATGTGGAAACATCGAGCTCCTAAAGTGCCTCCTATATGAAGACTGAGGTCGAGAGAGGTTTCTCGACTAGGTTCCTCCGACAGCTAAGTTAGTAATCCGAGGTATATGAGTATGGATATGTATAGTAAAAAAAGGTAAGCCCTTACTCATAATGTTGAAGATAAGCCTTTATACCTAGTCACAAAAGGACAGTATATTCCATGAAATATTATGTATGGAGGCAGCCTCTAATCACCCTCAACGTTTCCCTCTTGACGTTTTGTCAACGTAGGTGACTATGGGAGATAATTTCGAATTGCTTGTCTTGGATTTGCTTTGGGCAAACCGGTGGAATGTGATCTAGATCTTTTCTTCCCACTTAGGACTCCACGTGATAACTAGGTTTTAGATAATGATTAGTTGATAGTATACTCCATGTCAGTGATGACCCTTGGAAAAAAATCTTTTTTTTCTTCCTTTTTTAAGCAATTTTGTCATTTCAAGTCTCAATTTTCATCAACCTTATTTTTGCTAAATATGGGTAGGGATTTTAGTTATAATCAATCACATGATTTCTTATGTTATTTATTAAAATTTGACATTATATTATATTATATATATATATATTAATTTAGAATTTTTTTTAAAAAAATTATTTAAATATTTCTAATAATTGTTGATTTATTAAAATAATGGTACCATGAACCAGCCCGTCTCAGCCCCTTTGTACTTTGTTGGTAGGTTGGCTTGATTTGGTTTAAATAAAATATTAGGATTGCTTTCTGGAGTGGAAGAAACCGAACCCATTATGGCTTGGCCCGGTTTATGACTGGCCCACATTTAAGTAAAGGGCAAACTGTTAACATCTTCAGATTCCAAAGTCAAAGCAAGCCGTTATCTCCTCCATCAACCAGAGAAAACAGATTGTTGCAAGGAACTAATTGGTAATGGAGATTCTGATTATCGGAGATAATCTAAATCCAAGGTCCAGAATGAGAATGAGAATGAGATGGTGTGGGTGTGCTCGACTCGATAAGCAATCCAAGGATTTAGTAGGAATAAGAGGAATTGTGTACTCAAGTTTTTCAAGACAGCATTGCAAACATGCTTGGAAAAAAGGGAGTTCCGATTACTACTGAAATTAAGTGAGAAGTTAATCTATATGACAACTATGTGGAATCATCGATCATTGATTGTTAGGTGTGTCATGACTACCCCCATAGAGGTTTTATATAAATGAGACGAAGGGACCCATCGTGTATGTGATCGCGATGATTGGGTGCCCTTATCACGTTGTGTTTGATGGGATACTCAGATAGATGTTTGATTTCTATATATCAAACCCCTTATCGATTAAAGTCTTTATGCTGAAGGTTTTCAATTCAAAATATGTGTGTGTGATACTGGAGCCATAATTTCATTGTGTGCGTGTGAATTAATCGTTGAAAGTAGGACTTTGCTTTCTCTTGTTGCCGAGTAAAACTTAATTATCTTGGGATCAACGAATACCTACCTTGGTTGCACCTTGAAATCGAATTTGTTGACCCTGATTGATATTTCTATCTTAACCACGCATAAGAACGTTCTTTGGTTCTTACGGAGGTCAAATTTCTATATATTTTGAGGGGGTGTGCGAATTGGTTGGCTCTTTGGCACTAGGAATAGACCATCTTATTTTGGATAAAGGATTGGGGCCAGTCAATTTTGACGTTTTGGTTTGCTCTTAGACACGAACGATGATGATCGTTGTAGCTTTAATATCATCTCTTTTCTTGAAAAGATCTTAATTAGATTACAGAACTAAGAATTCTTATATCAAATCAAAGAATCGGAATCTTTTCTTAAGTAGAATGACCCTAGTGTTGGTCAGTAGTCGGATCCTCCCAAGTTCTTGAAGCTTGTCGAGGTCCTTCGACGGCAGTCGAGGATCCAAGGAGCGCATGATTTCCTCTGTGGACTTAGTAGGTGGACGAAGGACTGGGGAGTTGACCGGAGTTGCAGCGGGCGAAGCTGCCGGCCGGCCGGAGCCGGAGGTCCCGCGCCTTGCTCACGTAGAGCTCCTTGACGTTGGTGCCCTGCTGGCTGAGCAAGCGAGCGAGGCTGCGCTTGGCGTCCGAGCGGAAGGGGCAATTGGTGGCCATGAAGCCGTCCACCAGGTGGAGGTAGGCCTCCAGGTCGTGGCAGCAGGCTGCGTCGGCGTCGGGCCGCAGGTAGGGGGACATCCGGTTGTCCACCCGCAGCTCCCGCCCGACGTGCGCGTAGCCGTCGGCGCGCGCGGGGAGCACGCATGGCACGCGCGTGACCAGGTCGTGCGCGTTCACCACCCGCAGCACCTTGACCGCCCGCCGCTCGACCCGGTCCGCGAACGCCTGGTTCCCCACCCGCGGGCCGCCAAAGGAGAACACCGCTGTCGGCACGTGCGGCGACACGCTCGCCGCCAGCTCGTCCGCCACCAGCACCGCCAGCGCCGCCCCCAGGCTGTGCCCCACCACCGTGATGCTCAGCTCCTCCCCTGCGTACTGTTCCATCAGCCTCCGCACCTCCTCCGCCACCATCGACGACAGGCTCGGCGCGTCTGGCCCCGCCGTCTTGAACAGGCTGCGAAACCCGCATTCCACCTTCGGCACAGTTCCTCGGGGCTTCTCTGTCTGCTCCCCCTCCGAGGATTCCTCCTCCTCGGCCTCCTGCTCCTCCTCGTCTATTGGTACGAGCCAGGTGCGGAAGTTCTCGGCCCACTCCAGGCAGGTGGAGGTGCCGCGGAGCGCGATGACGATGTCGCGGCGCCCCATCCGCTGTATCTCCCGCTCGTTATCGCAGACAGCAACGTACCCGACCCAACTGGTCGGCGTGGCGGTCATCATCCACGGGGCGACGGTGTCGACCCACGGGGGCAGCTCCACCGAGGCGGTCGCGAACAGGTTGCGGGTGACGCGGTAGGAGCGGTCCGGAAGGACGACGGCGCGGGGGCGATCGGGCGGGGCGGCGGTGGGGTTCGAGTGGAAGGCGTGGTAGGTGGCCTGGGCGAACTCGCCATAGCGGATGAGCTCGCGGCGGAGATCATGGTCGAGTGGGTCGAGGAGGCCGTCCCAGTCGGCGGCACCGTGGTACTGATGCCATCTGGGGGCGATGATGCCGCGGGGAGATTGGCGGTTGGAGTTAGAGAGCAGGCGGCGGAGATGGGTGAGGCTGCGGGGAGAAATTTCTTCGGCCTGCTGGGTAGAGGAGGAAGGAAGAAAGAGAGCGGAAGGGAGGTTAAGGGCGTTCAGTAGGCAGCTGCCGGTACGGTGGAGCACGGAAAAGGAGAAAGGCGAATCACGGGGATCGCGATCATCTTCGACGACGGGGTCAGGCGCAGGCTGCGGTGGCGGTGGTGGAGCAACCGGTTGCTTCTTTTGGAGGAGGCGGTCGAGGTTGGAGAGGTGTGTTCTGGTGGACACGACAGTGGTAATAGCAGTAGCAGTAGTGGCGTGGATGTGGGCGGCAGAGTGGAGGCGGGCGGCGAGGGGATTGAGCGGAGAGCTGGGCCGGTGGCGGAGGGGGTTACGAACGGGCGAGACGTGGCGGGGTGCAGTCGCCATAGCGGAGCCGATTGGCATGAACGAGCGAATCAACGAGGACGGATGGAACGAGGGAGAGGGAGAGGGAGAGGGGGAGGGAGAAGAGGCGAGATGGCAAAAGCAAGGGAAAGGGAGAAGTAGGAAACGGAATGGGGCTTCGGGATGGAGGGGGGTTGCTTGGTATTCATATACCTGTATTATAACTCCAAACACGGTTTGCTTGGGAGAGGACGGTCAAAGAGCTCCGTGGACTCAGTGAGTTCAAAATATGAATTGAGAGCCCTCTCTGCTTCCTCACCGGCAGCATCAACATCGACTGCGACAGTGCAAGACCAAGTTGGCAGCTTGAATAGTATTATCTCGGATCAACGCGGAAACTCGGATCAACTAGCCATTTGTATGAGGAAAAGTCGGCTACAAACAGACTGTCATCTATCTTATCTGTTCACAAATAAGTTTGACCTTGTCCTTACCTACCTCACCAATTAGATTCGAAGATTATATAATCTCATATAGCAAAGAATTTAGTTTTTTTTCATTAAACGTATCATATTCAACATATGTTTTAGTCATAACTTTGACCGTAAGCATGTACTTTGACTTTTACCCTTTGCAATTGTCTGCTAAACAATTAATACTCTCAGCCGTAACTTAGCAAGCAAGTCAAAGAATTTTACAAGCATATAAATCTGAGGTCAATCCATCTGTTGACGATTTCCAGTTCGATCCGAACACATGCATTCATTTCCTTGGTTGACAAGCCTCTCTCTCTTTCATTTCCTTGGTTGACGAGCCTCTCTCTCTCTCTCCATACATCAGATCTGACGACAGCGTATTTTAATCACCCTCCAACCCCTCAACGAGAGACAACATCCCGTATTATCGCCGAATAGTCTTTACCTTCAGGTTTAGGTCCATGCATCCTGAAGAATCATCAAGCACCAAGGCTGTGTAACCTCCAAGCACCGTTTCGGTTACACCATTGACTGTGTAGCCTCCAAGCACCAAGAAACATCCTCCGGTTTGCTGACACCAAGAAACACACCAATGAGAATTTGACATATTATCGAGAAAGATCTCCTCAGGGTCCCGGATTTCTTGTCAGGTAATGGGAACAACCGGACATAACTACATAATTTAGCTGTGAATTGTTTCGTTTGTTAGCAGGGACTTTGACATGTCCTTGATTGACCTTTACAATTTTTTGGTGACTTCAAAGACCTGTGACGGCTGTGAGACATCTGAAAGCAAGAAATGCAGGTATTGACTATCCCGAGTTTTGCATGCTTTAAAAGATGTCGTCGAGAACGAAAACAACGACTTCAACAGCCATACTTGTCAATCCAAATAAAAAGCTCATCCTGGTTGGTTCTTCGCCATCGTCAGAATGCGTGGAAGTCTGACGAGATCCAAAGTCTTTCGAGTATTCAAAAGCATACCAAGGAGCTCGTCCAACATTGAAGTGCTTCAAGTAGCACGAGAAGATGAGAGAAAGGCGTCGGAACGCACACTCAATCACATGATCTACCTCCCTTTTGGTGTTCGACTGGTTCTCATCCTTTTGACCTGGCGAAGTGAAACCGCTGGTAAAAGATGATGAATGTAAGCTGAAAGGAAAGACCGGTCAAGAAGGAGCGTCAGCATGTTTCCCGCTTGGTGGAAGTGAAGATGAAACGCCGCTTTACTCCGTCAACATCAATGCGAACAACTTCAACAGATGGGAGTACTTCAATGGGCTCGTACTCAGAAATTTATCTGTAGTATGCAGATATGTTCAGGATTATATAAAATAAAAGATAAAAATTTAAATTTATTTAAATAGATTAGGATGAAAAGATATATCAGGATATAATTATCTTTTTATTTAAAAAAAAACTTATATTTTATCTTTTAGTTAATATAAATAAATGATTTTGGATAAATATTAAAGTATTATAGATTGAAAATACTGATAGTTTTTTTTATTAATTTTCTTCTCCTTCTCCCTAAAGTTGTATAGAAAAGTCAATGGTTCAAAGAAGATCAAAAGGAGTATATCAATTAAAAAAAGAGAGAAAGACCGGTAGATTAAAAAAATAAAAGATGACTGTAGTGTTCTTAATTTACTTCTTTCTATTTTCGAAGATGATAATTATTAATTTTAGATTTTTAAGAAGAAGACTATATTTATTTGATATGGATTGTAGAATTTGATAGAAGATGGTCGAAAGATTCAACGACCTTCTATATGCTATAATAACCAATAGATGAATCCCTATTTCCTCAATGATATCTGATACGACATGTTTTGGAACCTTGGACATGTCATCGGTGACGTCACACACTAAGTCAGAATCATACCGAGAAGCTATTCCACCTGTCCCGTCCTGAGAGCTCAGAAGGTGCCGTCCGACGCTGCTCCGCACATCCCAAACACGACGGCTGGTCAGAACTCTCGTCTCGCCCCTCGAGGGTCAGCGGCCACGTGCTACCGACCCTCGTGCAATAGTATAAAACCTATGGCCGACCTCCGGCCAAGGGAGGACAGACACAAAAAAACAATCCACCCACTTGCTCGTCGGAGGGGCTACAACCGGGGATCACCCGACGAGGGCCATTTTTTTGTAGGCGGACGACCACCCACGAGCAGCGAGCATCTCAACCCAGGAATCGCCATCCAGTGTATGAGGACGAGTTGCCAACCATCCCAGAGACGAAAAGACGTGGCTCATCATAAATGGTGCCTGAATCGACAGACCGAGGAACGTTGATCAACACCCCGCCGCGAGGGCCCGGTCGGCCTCGACGTCCAGCTCAGCCAACAGAAGGCTCCCGACATCGACCCGTGAACCAAGCCGTGCTGACTCATCAGCCACGGTATATTTGTTCATTAACATTTTGGTGCTAGAAGGAGGGCCATGTCGTAGGAGCATCTAGCAGGAGCTCTCCCCGAGGGAGAACCATCGACCGGTCTCCCTTCCGTTGAACCCGAAAGTCAGGCCCTCGCCACCCCCCGAGATGGGAGGGTCCCGGCCTCGATTCCAGATCGCTATTGGTGCTTGCTCAATGACTCGGAGCTATCGCCCCTCGGACTCATTGCGAGACCCTCGACCATGACACCTGAGGCATTCCTCGGCCTGACCAAGCAAGTGCAAACCATGGCGGGCATGATGCAGACGCTCGCTCCGTTCATTCCTCAGATCGTGCAACTAGCGGCTCCCCCGACTGACCCTACCCGACAGAGGCTGAGCGAGGAGCATTTAGGACCGGAGAAGCCCGAGAGCAAGCGACGGACCCGAGAGGTCCGCCCGGGCAAAACATACCCACACCCTGCCGAGCCACACTACCCCACTTCGAACCTGACACTATATCATCCGACTCGGCTGACGACTCGCTTAGGGCCCAGCTGTCCCGGGTCAACCAACGCCTGGATGAGTTCCAGCACGAGTTTCAAAAATCGTGGGGCGAGTCCAGCAAAGGTGGCTCAAGCGGGTCCCCTTTCACTCAGGAAATACAGGACAAGCCGGTACCCCTCAACTTCAAGCTGTCGGCATTGGAAACATACGACGACGGCTCCGATCCTGCGGAGTATGTCTCCGCATTTCGAGCTCAAATGGCCCTCTACGGCACCTCTGATGCATTGATGTGCCGGGCATTTCCGACCACCCTGAAGGGACCGACACGAGTGTGGTTCAGCTGGCTACACCAATCCACGGTCTCATCCTTCGACCAGCTCACCAGGGAGTTCAAGCAGAACTTCCTCGCTAGCGTGTGACGTAGGCCTTCAATGGCCACCCTGTTCGCGTTATCTCAGCACGAAGACGAGCCGCTCTCCCAGTTCGTGGCACGTTTTGTTACTGAGATCCGGGGATTCCCGGACGCTCACCCCTCTTTAATCATGCAGGCGTTCCTAATGGGTTTGAAGCCTTCGAAGTTCTTCTGGTCGCTGATCGAGAAACCGCCAGTGATTATCTCCGAAATGCTCCAGTGCGCCAACCAGTACGTCACCGCCGAAGCGTTGGTGACGGGGAGGCGCATGGACAGCAAGAGGCCAAGGGTGGAACAATCTTGGGGAATGACCTTAGCAGCCCTGACGCAACCCCGCCGGAGGCCCGACCGACAAGAGCTACTACTCTCGAGGCCCCCGCCTCTCCCCCTGAATACGTCCCGCACTGAGATCTTTCTCCAAATTAGGGAAAAGGGTCTCTTGCGACAACCTCGTCCCATGAAGGCCACTCACAAAGATCGGTCTAAATATTGCAGGTTCCATCGAGACTACGGCCATGATACGGAGGATTGCCACGACCTCCAGAATCAAATAGAGGGACTGATCCGGAGAGGCCACCTCGGACGCTATCTCAGGGAACCCCGGGAAGCGACTCCGTGCCCCAGGGGACCCATTGAAAGATAGATCGACATCATTTCCGAGGGATCAGCAATCGACGGCAACAACTCTGCGGTGAGGAAAGCCTATGCCCGCAGCACGGTTGAGAAGCGTCCTAGGCCTGAGCTCGAGCCTGAAATCACCTTTGGGGCTAGAGAAGTCGAGCGTGCCCATCACAACGATGCCCTGGTGATCTCCATCCAGGTTGCCAATGCCTGAGTCAAAAGGGTGATGGTCGGCACCGGGAGTTCCGCTGACGTCCTTTACTTCGATGCCTTCAAGAGGTTCAGCTTGACCGAGAGAGACCTCACCCCCATGTCGTCAGCGCTCATAGGATTCACTGGGGATTCCATCTCCCCACTTGGGACCATGGTCCTCCCTATCGTCATTGGGGAAGAGCCGAGAGCGAAGACAGTATTGGCCACCTTCATGGTAGTCGATCTGCCCTCGGCCTATAATGTCATCCTCGGCAGACCGATACTCAACAAGTTAAAGGCGGTGGTTTCCACCTACCATAGGGCCATCAAGTTTCCGACCTCGGCGGGGATCGGGGAGGCCCGGAGCGACCCGGGGGAGTCAAGGAGATGCTATCTCACCACGATTGCTCTCCCTGGGAAATTGCAACCAACTTAAACCCCCAACCCCCGTGAAGGACCCATGGCACCGACGCCGCTGGAGCCTCCCGAGCGACTCATCGAGGTGCCCTTGAAAAGGAGCTAACCCGATCTGACCGTCAAGGTCGGAACCACACTCCCCGTAGCGGATCA